TTCTGGGCTCCTCAGGACAGGAGGGACATGGAGCTCCTGGAGCAGCTCCAGTGGAGCTTACAGAGATGATGAAGGGACTGGAGCATCTCTCTCATGAGGAAAGGCTGAGGGAGCTGGGGCTGTTCAGCCTCAAGAAGAGATGACTGAGAGGGGACCTCATCAATGTCTGTCAGTGCCTGCAGGGAGGGATCAGAGGAAGGACCAGGCTCTGCTCAGTGGGGCCCAGCAATGGGACAAGAGGCCACAGGCAGAAAGAGATGCACAGGAAATTCCATCTGAACATGAGGAAGAACTTCTTTCCTGTGCAGTAACTGAGCACTAGAACAGATTGCTCAGAAAGGGTGTGGAATCCCCCTCACTGGAGATCTTCCAGAACCATCTGGACACAATCCTGTGCTGTGTGCTCTAGGATGATCCTGCCTGAGCAAGGAGGTTGGACCAGATGACCCACTGTGGTGCCTTCCAACCTGATTTTGTGATCCTATGTTAGTTTCTAGAGAATGACTTAAAATCAGAGAATTTGGCCTATTTGTTAGGTTTGGATTTTTTCTTTCCTCAGACTTCTTGAACAGTATTATCACCTAGAGACCAAGACATAAAGGTGTCACAGCTCTTAATTGCACCTTGTTTTTGGTCAAACAGCACAAGATAGGCAAAGAAACCCCAGGTGTCTGGTAAGTATCGGGTTGGAGATCACTTGTTCCAGAATGCTCAGGGTGGAGAGAAGCAATTTGCTGGAGTTTGGGGATTTTGCCAGATGTCAGCTCTTACCCCGTACTCTCCGCCCTGACCCTTCCAGCCTTTCCCTTGCTGGACAAGAGGGAGAACAGTGTTAGTGGTTCCAAAACTGGGCTGAGGATTTGGTATGGAGAATTAGCACATGCTCTGGGTCAAACAGCTGCAATGTGCTCTAGGAAGACGCTGCCTGATCAGGAAGATTGAGAGAGATGACCCCACTGGTGGTCCCTTGTAACCTTGCCCATTCTGGGGTTGCAAGTTATGTCAACTGTGCACTCCATGTTCATTAGTCCAGGTATGGAATGAGTGGGAGTTCACCTCCTTCATGCTCAGGTGGGCAAAGTGTTGTTCATTGATTTCACAGCGTAGAAATGAGCTGCTCCCAGAGCAGCCTTTTGTCCCTTCCCGTCTGGATTGTTCACAAACACAGTTCTTAGTGCTGTTGTTCCATCTGGTCTTCCTGGCTCTCCTGAGGTGCTTTTACCCCAGCGTGCAGTCTGTGCCGGAGTGCTCTTCAGCCACCTTTTCCTGGTTGTTGCAGGGTGGAGCACGTACGGATGCACGCCAAGCACCGTGGCCACGAGGCGATGCATGCCGAAATGGTTCTCATCCTCATCGCCACACTCGTGGTGGCACAGCTCCTCCTGGTTCAGTGGAAGCAGCGGCACCCTCGCTCCTACAATGTGAGTTGCCCCCACAGCTGTTCTGCCTCCAAGGCTGGATGTGAGTGTTGAGCCATGCCCTCCTTTTGCTGATGAGAAAAGCCTTCCTGGTTTTCCCACTGTCTGGTGGTGTGATTCCCTTGTTTTCCCAGCATTGCCTTGTTTCTCCCAGCACGTGGGGAATGAGGATGGATGGGTGAACGTGAAGGCCTCAGGTTTCTGTTGGAAGTGATGCAAATAACTCGGTGTCACACAGTGCTTTAACGTCAGGGGTTGACAAGCAGATCCTGGGGGTTGTCCTGAGGGAAGCTGCGTTTTGTGGGTGATTCCTTGGAAGCAACGGGGCCTTCTTGCTGCTGGCAGCTTGGATTTGATGGTTCCTGCAGCACTCTTAATGTTTCCAGGTAGTACCTGTAGTCCTCTGTGAACTTCAAACCAAACCTGTTTGCCTGTTTCCCTCCAGCAGCACTGTGGGAGCTCAGCTGCACAGCTGTAGATCCTTTTGGGAATAGGCTGTAATGCAGAGGCGAGCCAAAAGCTTCCTGCCTTGTCTAATACCTGTCTGAGACATCTGTGGTTGCAGCCTTGGGATGCTGGGAAGACAAAGTTTTATGTAGCTGCCTTACCACAACTAGTTGTGTGGATCATCTCCCACACATTCCTCTGGAGATGATTCCTCTGCATTCTCCTGCCAGCTGTACCTTTTGCTACAAAAATTTGTGATTTGCAAAAATCCCATGGCTGCTGCCTCTGACTGCCTCACAAAATCACAGAGCAGTTTGGGTTGGAAAAGCCCTCTGAGATCATTGAGTCCAACTATTCCTCCTGCACTGCCAAGCCCTTCCCTAACCCATGTCCCCAAGTGCCACATCCACTCAGCTTTTAAATCCCTCCAGAGATGGTGACTCCATCACTGCCTCAGGCAGCCTGTGCCCGGGTTTCACCACCGTATCTGGGAAGAAATTTTTCCAATATGCAACCTTAACCTTCTCTAGCAAAACCTGAGGCCTTTTCCTAATGTCCATTCACTTGTTACTTGGGAGCAGAGAATAAGCCCCATTTGGCTATAACCTCTTCTCAGGTATAATATAAGATGTATATATATGTATATGTGTATATATGTATATGTACATATTATATATATGTATATATAAGAATATATATACAGGCAAGAGGAGGAGCATGGCCTTTCTGCTCAAGTGATGTGGCATCAAATTTATTCCTGTGAACCTGATGCCAAAATGATTTTTGCTTTTCTGTTTTCTTCATACTCTGTAGCTCTATAGACGGTTATTGTATAGTTATATAGTTCCTATCTGTCTCCAGTATTTTTCCTACTGTGATAGAAAGACAAAACACATTCCAAAGTCTCTATCCTAACCTTGGTTCTTTTTGGAACCAAGGACGAGCCACCCTCCCAAGACACTTTCCCATAAACAACTTGCAAAAGGGGGGCTCCCAAAGAGAGTTGAAGCAGAAGGGGGAGGAACTGATGCCTTAAAAATCTAGCAATAGAACAACACACATAAAAAACAATTTTAATAAAGGAGGTAATATAAAAGCTGGTCTTTAATTGGAGGCCTCCAGGGGCATTTTTCCATGTTGGCCAGTGAGCTGGACGCAGTTAAGATCTTTGTCCCATCATCTCTGTAAGCATGGGAAATTCAAAGCCTCCATAGAAGAGGGTGCAATTCAGTCAAAGTTGGCTGTTGCTGCATGATCTTGTTGTGTTTGTGTCACTTTTCTGTCTCCACCATCAGTGACAGAGAGTGACTGGAGGGTCAAGGAATGATGGGAGGTGCTCACAACCCCCAGTCACCTGTAGTCCAGTTCCAGCTCTTGTGTTAATTGACCTTACAGCTTACAGCATCCCAGCAATCCTCCCACCACTGCTCACAGTCCTCCTGGCACAGTGGCACATCCCGGATCCGCTCCTTCCGCCAGCTGTTGTCTGCCTGCAGGGCCCCCAGTTTCCCCCAGTTCACCCCAGGGATCCTGGTGGGTGGGTGAGGGGAGGTCTGCACCTACCTGGTCGATCCATGGCCCCAGGTTAGGGGAACACTCATAGAGACATGTCCTGGATGAAGTGGCGCTTGCACTTCTCTGGCATGGCCCCACAGTGGGCCCAGTTGAAGTTTTACAGGTAGGACTGATCCTGCTGGGTTTCCAAACCGGTGCTTGCAATGCAGCAGGCATTGTCCTTACAGAGGAGACACTGCACCAGAGCAGCTGGGGATCAGCTAAGACCCATCAGGACCCACCAGGGCTCCAGGGAAAGTGTTAGTGCCCATGGGTGGGTGACACTGAGTGACAGAATTCATGTTGGGACACAGAGCCCCCCAGCCTCCATCCTGGTGACCCCACAGCAAGTGACACCCGTGTGTGCTGGTGCAGTGGATGAGGACCGTACCTGCCTGTAGACCTGCCCCTCAGGGCCAGGCTGTTTTATGGTGCTTGGCGTCCATGCAGACATTGAGGAGAGAGTCCTGCGTCACTGCTGCGGCAGGAACTGGCCAGGCCACCAGCACCAGCAGAGCCAACACCGCTGCCATCACTCTGCCAGGGCGACAGCAGGTCAGGACTGCAGCACTGAGACACGCGGTGACAGCGGGGACAAAGTCCCCCACTGTGCGTGTGGAAGTGCGGCAGCACGTGGTCACTGCCACCAACAGTGGGGCCAGGGATCTTACCTGGGGAGTGCCAGGGGTCATGGCTCTTACCTGGGGGGCAGCTGGACTCCAGGTGCTGTGGGATGAGCACAGCTCATCTCAAACGTCCTGGTGCAACCCTTGGCCACTAATCACAGTGGCAGATTGGACAGCACTGAGGGCACGGAGGAGGCAGTGCACCCTTCCCTGGCACCCTGCTGCATCCTGGATTGACACTTGTGCCCATCCTGGCCCCCCAACTGCCCCGCATACAGCTGGAATTCATCCTCCTGGCGCCAGGCTGGGGCCAGCAAGAGCCAAAATCCACCTGTGGCTGTTTTTCCTTCCCTCCTGTGGGAAGTGGCCTGATTCCCTGACACCAGCACAAGGGGCAGGACCTGGTCCCCCAACACCACAGGGTCCCTGTGAGTGACCAGGGGGGAGCACCGCAGTGGGTAAGAGATGTTGCTGGTGGGGGACAGGAACCCCTGTGGGGTCACCAATGGCCACAGGGTAGAGGCAAATACCCCTCATGGAATTACAGGTACTCCAAGGGATCACAGATGCCCCATGGCAGGGGGGACCAGATGCCCTGGGGGAGAGCAGTCACCTGTGGCTCGGGAGGGACAGAAACTCTCCAGTGTGGGACGTGCCTCGAGGAGGGACGGAGGGAAGATACCCTGGAAGATGCAGATACTTCCAAGATCACCCATGATGGGGGGGGCCAGACATGCCCCGGGGGTCACAGGTGCCCTGAGGAGGGGGGAAGACACACCCTAGTGGGGTCGCAGATACCCCCTCACATCACAGATGACAGAGACAACCACCCATGGATGCCAGCTGCCTCAAAGGAGCCGATACCCCATGAGGATCACAGATACCTCCCCCTGGGGTCACTGGTACCCGTGGGGGGTCACATACCCACCATTAGTCACAGATATCCCCTCACTCGTGTCACAGCCATCTCTGGGGGTGGTCACGAATGCCCCAGACCCGGAGGCGCGGCGCCCCGCCCACCACCTGTCAATCAGGTCCCGCCCATTCTTTACCTTGTGGGCCTGGCCGCGCCAACATAACCGCCCTCCCTCTGCGCATGCTCCGTGCGCTGTAACTGCTTCCGGCTTGGCCGCCACTTCCGGCACCTGGGTGGGGGGAGATGCGGGGCCGGGTATCCGGCGGCCGGGAACGGGTTCGGGGCTGGGGAGCGGCCCCCGCTCCTCCAGCGGGCACGGTCGCCGTGCTCGTTTCAGTGCCCGGGGTTGTGTCTGAGCTCCTCCTGCCACACAAGGGGACACCTGGAACCCTCTCAGCCCGAGTGGCATTGGGACCCTGCCTGGAGCCAGCAGGACTCGGGCTGCAATTAGATGTGGTCAGGAAGTGACACAAGGCAGCAGCTGAGCCCAAAGGGCCTGTTTGCTGGGGTACCATGGAGCTGTCGGGGTGCTCACCCGCCTCTCTCCCTTCCCCAGCTCCAGAGCATTGCTGAAAAGGACAACAACTTGGTGCCCATAGGAAAGCCAGTGTCCGAGGTGGGTGTGTGGGCACGGAAGTGAGGGTTTGCCACAGGGCTTGAGGGGCAGACGGGGTTGCTGGAGCTGTTGTGCCACAGCACTATGATGAGGAGGAGGAGGAGGATGATGGAAGATGATGAAGATAGTGAAGAGGACTCAGAAGATAAGGACATGCAGGATATGGATGAGATGAATGATTATGAGTCTCCTGATGATGGGGAGATCAATAAGGTAAATAGCATGAGACCCCAAAGCAGGGGATGTGAAACGTGTGGGACCCTGAGCATGAGTTCCAGGGGCCGTCTTCTCTCCTTCAGTCCCTCTGTGGGGTTCTTTCTCTGGTAGGAGATCTCAAACCTTTCTTTCCTAGGTGGATATGGAGGGGACAGAACAGGATCAGGACCAGTGGATGATCTGATTCTGTCACAACCACGCCAAACCAGAGGCTGGGGGAGAGCCTTTGCTCCCCATGGCTCTGGGGATAGTTCAGTGAAGCTCCTCCTGCTGTGGGCGCTGTGTGGGGAAGAAGGGTTCTGAGGGGAGACTGCCACCTGACACATTAGAGCTGACATATCTTTTCTAATCAACTCAGTTTTCAAGAAAACAACCCCAAATCTGGCGTCTGAGGCCATCAGGGCAGACAGGGCGTACCACTCAGGCAAGTGCAGAGCTGCCCCCCACCATTCACTGGTGTGCCTGGCAGACCTCTCTGTGCAGTGCAGGCAGGAGCACTACAGGGCATGAGCCCCCTCCTTACCCACTGCACCCCACCACAGACCACAGCAGCCACTGCATTTCCTCCAGAGCCCATGTTGAGGCTGAGATGGGGGTTGGGGACCTGGCACCCTGCAGGTAACCGTGGCCACCACAAGGCAGGAGCTCCTTGCTCGCTCAGTGGGTGCCGGTGTAGCGCAGCTCGGCGATCCCATCAGGAATGGTACGGAAGTACTCCAGGCTGGCACGGTGCAACTTGCTGTGGTACTTGCCGCAGGTCTTGGCGTACTGCAGGAAGTGGGGTGCCCCAGGGAAGAGGACATTATCAGCCAGGATGGTGGCCCCCTCAGCCAGCAGCTGGTGGCTCTCCAGCAGCCGTAGGTCCCGCAGGTAGCAGCGTTTGCAGTGATCCATGAAGACCAAGTTGGTATTCATGAGGCCATGCTTCTCCTGCAGGAGGGGTATCACCTCCTCCGAGGGGCCCACGATCAGCCCCACTCCTGCTGCAGGACCCTCAGTTGCTGGGGCAGGGTGTCAGGGTGGTGAGAGGTCCATATGGGACAGGACCTTTCCATTCCCACATATGCTACCCAGCAGGTGCCGCAGTCCCTGCCACAGCAGTCAAGGACCCCCACCCGTCTCGTCCCCGGTTTCAGCTGCAGAGCTGGGCTTTGTCCCAGATCCCGGGTGCTCACCGTCTGCTCACTGAAGCCAGCCAGGCAGATGACCTTATCGGCCATGGCAGCATGTCGGGGGTCCCCCTCGATGGTGTAGAGGCGGGCACCCGGGGGCAGCCCCTGTGCCAGCAGCACGGTGCCATAGCCACAGTACGTGCCCAGCTCCAGCACCCGCAGTGGTGCCCGCTCCAACAGCACCCGCTCCACGATCCGCCCTGACGTGGCACGAGCCTCTCAGCACCCCCGCGCCTGTGCCACCCCAGCCCTGGGCAGGGCGAAGGTGCCAAGCGGTTCCCAGTGCCCAGAGGGATGGAGGAAATGCCACAGCCAGGTCAATGATGCCACACCAGCAGTGCCGTGGCTATGCTGGCAGTGTAATGGCTGTGGCAATGGTGCCACAATCATGCCAGTGGTACTACGGCTATATCAACAATGCCACCGCCATGCCAATGGTGCTGGCACCACACCAATCCTGTCACAGCCACGTCAGTGGTGTCATGGTCGTGCCAGTGGTGCCATGGCTGAGCCCAGCGCCATGCCCCACGTGGGGTGAGCACACAAAGGTGGCACTCACCTTTGTCGGGCCCCACACAGCTGAGGTGCTCACAGTGGTAGCACCACTGGTCGAAGGTCTGGAGGATGTGGTGGGGGTCCCCAGGGATGGCGTGGGCCAGCAGGTACTGGAAGGCACGCTGCTCCCGCGAGGTGCCGGTGAGCCGGTCCCGCAGCCAGGCCACCAGCACTGCCCGGTACAGCAGCAGCAGGTAGTGCCGGTACCGGATCAGCAGGGTGACAATGAAGGGGAGCAAGGCCAGGGCAATCGCCGGAGACACCATCGCAAGCGAGTGCGGCTGTGATCTTTGCACAGTTGCTGAGTTGATTTGATAGTTAGAAAAGGAGGTAGAAAAGAGGGGTAGAAAAAGCGGCAGCGTGAGGCTGCCGGCAGCGGGAACCGCCAGGCAGCGGGGAGCGAGCGACCGCTGCTGGGTTCTGCGGATCAGACTGGGAGGTGCTGAGTGCGCCGGCATCCGCCAGGGGTGGCCGGATCACGCAAAGGTGCCAGACCGGGGGCGGACTGCGGGGGACCCTGGGGGTAGCGGTGAGCGGGGACCGCGGACGGTGTTTCCCGAGCGGAGACCGCGGGGGCGCCGTGTGAGCGGCGGCCGGGAGCGCTGGGTAGCAGCCAGCGGGGACCCAGCACAGAAACTCCCAGAGCTTGCTAACCCAGCGGCGGCAGTGCTAAAGCTGCGCACCGCGCTGCCTTTACAGACAGAACTAAGACAGAAGTTGTTTTAGTTGTGTGGGGGGTCTCGGAAACCGCAGAGCTCGCTAACCCAGCGGCGGCGGTGGAACGCAGTTCGCGTGCGGCGCCGCTGAGGGTCGGGAACGGGCTTGGTTATACCAAAGTCTCGGAAATTGCATGAGGGACGCCGAAACGCGACGCCTTCTCTGCAATCCTCCAGCATAAAGCTGCCCGATCACGGGGAGGGAGCACGTGCGTAGCTTTCGGCAGCCCTCCCTCCCTCCCTTCCTTCCCCCCTCCCTCCCTTCCTTCCCCCCTCCCTCCCTTCCTCCCTTCCTTCCGCCCTTCCTT